GCCTTGGGGCCCTTCCGGCCTGGATGCAGCTGGGGAGCGCCTGCAGCAGGGGGCTGCGGTTGTTGGATGGGGTCCCCGTGGGGCCGGACCCCTTCCCATGCCCTCGGCTGCTGGGGCCCTGTGCGGGGCTACTGGGAGAGCTGGGGTGCCCCCCGGTATCTCTGGGGCTGCAGGCAGGGATGGGGATTCTCTGATGTCTAATAAGGGTTGTGCCCCGCTGCCGCCTCACTCCTCTCCCTCCTCCCCTGCCCCTTCCAGGAGCTGGATGTCCCAAGGGCTTTGCCCCACCGATGTCACCGGCCAGGAGGGACCAGGAGCTGCCCTGGGAAGGGGCAGGCAGAGCAGCGGCCCTGGAAGATTCCCTCTGAGCCAGCAAGGAAACCCTGGCCAGGATGGGAACATTTGTTCCCAATTAGGAGGGGGGCCGATCCTCGCTGAGCAGGCACTTTGTGCTTCCCCGGCCCCGAGCCTTTCGCCGCAGAAGTGGCGGCTGTGGGATGTGACCTCATGGGTCGGGTACTGGGCGGGGGGCAGAGGCTGGGGCAGCCCGCGGGTGTCACCCTGCTCATCCCGGTGTCCATCCCAGTGTCCATCCCAGCATCCGTCCCAGTGTCCATCCCAGCATCTATCCCTCTGTCCATCCCAGTGTCCATCCCAGCGTCTGTCCCAGTGTCCCAGTGTCCATCCCAGCATCTATCCCGGTGTCCATCCCAGTATCCCAGTGTCCAACCTAGCACGTGTCCTGGTGTCCATCCCAGTATCCCAGTGTCCATCCCGCTGTCCCAGTGTCCGTCCCAGCATATATCCCGGTGTCCATCCCGGTGTCCATCCCTGTGTCCCAGTGTCCATCCCAGCATCCGTCCCAGTGTCCATCCCAGTGTCCCAGTGTCCATCCCAGCATCTAACCTGGTATCCGAGTGTCCATCCCAGCATGTATCCCACTGTCCATCCCAGTGTCCATCCCAGCATCCTTCCCGCTGTCCATCCCAGTGTCCCAGTGTCCATCCCAGCATCTATCCTGCTGTCCCAGTGTCCATCCCAGCATGTATCCCACTGTCCATCCCAGTGTCCATCCCAGCATGTATCCCGCTGTCCATCCCAGTGTCCCAGTGCCCATCCCAGTGTCCCAGTGTCCATCCCAGCATGTATCCCGGTGTCCATCCCAGCCCCGCACCGCCCTGCGGCTGCCTGGAGGGCAGAGCGTTGCGGCGTGCATCACCCGCTGGGCTGCACCGCTGCAAACGAGACCGTCTCCGCCGCCTGTAATTATTTCCCAGGGCGACGAATGATTAATTCTGCTCAGGAGCTGCGGCTTTCTGCAAACTTCCCCCCTCCCCATCCAGCTGAAGCTGCCAAATATTAGAAATAACCCTCCAAAGGGAATTCCAGTGCCATGGGGAGGGGGGGGGATGACACCCCCTTCTCCGGACGGGTCCAGGGGAGCCCATGCCACTGCTCCTCCACTTCTGCTGCACCGGGTGAAATAACGTGCCCGGGTTGAGCATCCTCCTCTCCCCGCGCTCGGCGTCTCACGCTGGGTTTGCCAGCTGCCAGGAGGGAGGGAAGGGGAGGGACGAAGCGCCTGCCAACACGGTAATAATTTTTTTTTTTTCCCCTTAATTAGGGGAAGGAATAAATATAAAAGGAGGAGGGAAAGGGGAAGGGAAAAAGTTAAAAAAAAAAAAAAAAAGAGAGAGACGAGGACACGGAGACACACAGAAGACTCCTCTTTTCTCGCTGCTTGCACTTATGCCTGGCGGAGCTCCTTCCCAGCCGTCCTGCCAACCTGCTGCCGCCCGCTGCCTGCGCTGCCCCGGAGAAACCGCAGCTCAGCCCCGCACCGGGGCTCCGGGGAAGGGGAACCCCCCACGGCGCTGCCGTTCCCCCCGCCGCGAAGAAGGACCACCGCGGGGCTACCGCCGCGCATCGAGCCAGGTGGGATGAGGGGAAAGCGTTGGGTTTGGCCAACGGATAACCTCGGGGCGCCGCGTGGTCCGGCCGGGCAGCCGCTCGCTGCCGTACTGCGCTATTAATTTCAATATCTCATTTCACCTCTGCGTTGGCGGAAAGTAAGAGGAGAGCTGAGCCGGAGCGTGGGGATGCCGTGAGCTTTCCCCGTGTTTTTTCCCTGCGGGATGCGGGCACGGGGGGCACAGGGCATCCTCCTTCCCTGAGGAGGAGGACGCTTGAAGCTGGGGGTCCCCGTGGTCCTTTTTCGGGGAGGTTTGTCCTTGTCACCGATCCCCCGGGAGGACAAAATCATGCTGCAAGTTGGTCGTTGTTTTTTTTTTTTTTTTTTTTTTTTAATAGATCAGCTTGTACCGGTGCTGGCTCTGCAGAGCTGGAGGCAGAGCGGGGGTTGAAGGGGGGTTTCTTGCTAAGTTGGATGGAAAAAGGACTTTGGTGCTGCCCGGTCACCGCAGCCTGGAGCTGAGCCTGTCTCGCCACCCGGCCAGCGGTCGGGGCTCGAAGGCGTTGGGGATAAAGGGGATTTTTGGGGGCTGTTTCAGCAGCTGCTGCCCCAGGACCTTCGTTTTGGGAGAGCTGTCGGAGGGACTGGGGGTCCAGCGTGGGGCTGGGGCATCCTTTCATGGGGGAACCCCACTCCGGTCTGTCCTGAGGAGCCTCTGGATGGGTCCTTGTCCCCAGGAGGCTGCAGGCGGGGTAGCAGTGCGAAGGGAAACTGAGGCACGGAGCTGGGCAGGGTCTGGCTCCCCCCTCTCCCACCCGGCCGTGTCACTGGT